CYYCMMCCYMCCCCCCCTTKCACAATGAACACTAAGATCGGCCAAGTTACCTTTTTAAGGAAAACTCTGTTGCACGTGCCAGCCGTCGTTTTGCAGTGCCTGTGCCTGAATGGCGTGTTGCCTCTGTCCACATCGCGTTCGAAACTGATGGTACGAGCGCCACACGAGAACGACGACGCTGGTCGTTGCCGGTACGTCGATCTTCTCCTGACCGTCTCACTGTCGCTAACCGACTTCCGGTCATCGTCGTCGTCGTCGTCGCCGTCGTTGCCGCCACCGCAGCCGCCGCAAAACCTGTCACTCATGCCGTCACTGTCGTCGTCACTGCAGTCGTCGTCGTCGTCGTCGTTTTCATCGTCGTCGTCGTCGTCGCCACAATAACGATCGTGACCACCGCTCAGAGCAGTGCCGATAAACGTAAACAACTGTTGGACGTGTCTGTCGAACTGGTCGGGCAGACTAGTGACGCTGGCCGTGCAGTTCGACGTCGTCGTGGCCATCGCAGAGTCGGCCGACGCGACGTCTCGAAACACGTCCGTTTCGAAGTGTACAGTCTTGGTGTTTCGCGACTGATGCGGACGATTCTGTGGTGGCTGCTGACAGTGTCGCTGCAGGTGTTCATGTCGCTGCTGGTGTTCACGCTGTTGCTGGTATTCACGCAGCTGATGTTGTTCACCACGCTGTTCGTGTCGACGCTGGTGTTCACGTTGCTGTTGTGGCGAGGAGTTCACGTCTGCCGCCGCGATGGCGACGTCCAACGGCGGTTTCGGCCGGTTCGTCTCGACCATTTTCATCGGCGGACAGGGCGATCGCCGTTATTCCACGACCGCCGCATTGCGGCAGTTGCAGTGCACGCCGCTCGGCAGTTCCTGCGTCGTTCGGCATTTGGCACGCGTCGACCCCCGTCGGCGGGTGCACCGCAAACAATAACACCACAGCGACGCCTCTTGGTCGTCCATTGTCACCACGAATGCTTTTGGTTGATATCGTGGTACGTCGTCGTACTATATTATCGTAGTGTTATCGTACCTCGTGACGGCGGCGGCGGCGGCACTGGACCAATCTATCGCGACGGTGGCTGGAGCCTTAATAACGACGATCACCGCTACAATATTGTAGTCGTACGGCAGACCTGTGGCAAGATCACGAGACGCATGTCATTCGCGGGCTCCGCCGTGCCCAGTGATGTTATAACGTAGCGCGTTTGATGTGTATTATCCGAAATAAAAATATGTCAATGACATAAAAGACGGCCGGTCGTGATTCACGACAACCACCATAACGACATCGGACGAATAATAACAATGATAATTATTATAATTCCCGTCCGGTCACAGTTTTGTTGCGCTTGGTGTAGCGTTCAGTGCGAGACGGTGTGCGATTGTGACGACGAGTGGTGTTGTTGCAGCCGTACCGAGCGGAGTGCACTGCGGGGAGCGCGACGCGATCGTTCAGCTTCCATTAGGGGACTAGCGGACGAGGGTGTATCACGAGGGCGTATTTCAGCGTTCGCAGCGTCCCGGCGCCCGGACGGCGCCCTCTGGTGTAACACATCAAAAGGAAATGGCCTGACGAGAAATGTGTATTGAATCTGCAGTGTACATGCGTTTGCCGAGTAGAAGAAAAAAAAAGGACGCCAGTGTGTATTTCGTATACATATGATATACGTCATCATCGTATATATATATTTATACAAATAATAATAATGAAACACGAAAAGGTCCTAGGATATCGATGACCCACTAATAAGCGCTGCACAAGTCCGGACAAAAACCAGAGTAAAATAATGTAAATAATTATTTAAAGGAAGCGTATTCGAGGACTGCCTTTTCACGTTTCCGTGTGGTGTTTGATAATAATCAAATAAACGATAATAATTGTCAATTAGTAAAATAAACGTGTATTTTTAAGTGTATATCTTTAGGTACCTATATCCTATATACCTACACTTTGTTGAGAACGCCTCGGGAATAAATAACCAATCCCTTTGATGTACCTACCAACCGTTTAATAAAAATGTTTTTCAACCGTATAGAAATTTAATATTAGCGGTGTGTATTGGCCGTGTTAATATTATCGAACTTTGTGTGACGCGTTTCTTAAAAATTTACATTTAAGTATAATACGCGGCATATGTATCTCTTATTCATGCACAGTTCGGTTTGTTCGTATATCTCAAACGCTCCACAAACGAGATTTGTTAAACATTAAATAAGCCGTCGTGTAACCACTTTGCATACAGTGTGATATGTATATTATCTATGCTTGAAAACATTATGGATGAGACATTAATTTACATTTTCAACCGTATCTCTTTAAATGTACTTGAGCTTTTCGTATTATATGTTTTAGTTTATAAAATTCGTCTGCATAATTTAAAGCGTTTCTATAAAAATGTACATAATAAAAATAATCGATTTGAAATACAAATTAATGGTAATAATATATGCTACCTAATAGCTCATAACTGAAAATACTTAGGTAATAGGTATGTTTAGTTAACTATAAAAGTATGCGAGAATCAATGAAATGAATTATTACTATTGTTTTTGCAATAACAAAATCCATTATAAAAATAATTCAATCACAAAATTGTTTTGAATAATTTTTTGGTATAGATGTGGGGGATTGGTATGCGTGATTTACTACATTAAATCTGAAATTAATTATTGTGATAAATATTTCACTATATTATGTTATATTCTTGTGTGTATACTTATTAGTTATTTTTATGTGTAATTATCTCATTTTTTTAATACTTCAACTATGCTGATTTTATTTTAAATCAATTTTTGGTTTACATCATAATATAATATATGTCAATTTGAGTTTGGTAGTAAACACTTAAGTTTATAGTCATAAACAAACTGAACACCAGTCACCATGTTTATTCGTTTTTCTATAAGAGCAAAGTATGTAGTAAAAGAAATTTATAACACTTATAATAAAGAATTTTATTCAATTTTATTTTAAATTATCTCCTGAAAATTATATATTAACTCTTGAAAGAAGTACACGTATTGGTTTTGCAATGACTCGAGTTTTTCTTGTGTGTGTCCAACATCATCATTAAGTGAAGCAAAAATCGATCGACCATCAATTTGAAAAGTGGTTTCTAACAAATTGGGGTTTGCTGGTACTTTAGAGGGTGAAAAGAGAAAGGTAAAAATTAAAAATAAGTTTTCAAAATAATTGGAAAAAAATAAAAACAAAATTACAGTTAACGATAACATAATTTGTCCAATATATATAGGTACTTTGTTTTTTTGTTGCAATTAAAAACAAAAAAACTATAAAAATATTGTATATTATTTGGTCTTCATATTACGATGCCCCAAAAAAATCCGAGTATTATATTATAATTGTATATAATATAATACATTATAAATTACCTATATGACGTTTATATCATATTATGATGTTTCACAGTAAGTTGATATGCATACAATTACAATGTGAAAGAACATTCAACGTGACTAGGTATTAAATATATTCAAATGCATATTTTAGATTTCAAATGGAAGTTTTTATTATTGATACATTTATAGTAATATGGTAATAAAAATAATATAATAGTATAATTTTTTTTTGACTTATAAAAAAAAATGTTTTACTTCAACACAATTATAATAGGGTGGCCAATTATTTAGTTTTCAAAAATCTACAGAAGTAACGATAAATTTAAGCTATACTCTTTTAGAAGTAATGTCTTTATTTTGAATAACAATAATAATTGTGAACATTTATATTATATAGGTACGTAATGTAAGTACATTATATAATAAACAGGAGCTTAATGAAATCTATATCGTGTATAATATAGCGTACAATTCGACTATATTTACACATCATTAGTTTGTTAATTGGATATATTAAGTTAACTAAGTAACTGAGTACTGCGTCAACTGATTGATGAAAATACTGAAAGTACCTATCAACTATCAAGATAAATTTTATCGCCAATTAAAAAACATAATTTAATTTAATACTAGGTACTTCATCAGCAATCTAAAAATATCTTACAAACATTTTGTTTCTGAAATATTGTATTATTAAATAATAGCGATCCTCATTAATTTCTTTGTGACTTAGGTATAACAGATTAAAACTTACTAATTCTAATAATACTATTAATTATTTCTTATCAACGTATAAGGAATCAATATAAAGCAAATTAAATAATTAAAAGGTGAAGATACTTGTTGAAAAAATCAATATTCGAATGATTTTGTTCACATTTCGCACATGATTACACGAATTCTATACGTAAATAATGTATATATACATGATTTTATTACTATTATTATTCTTTTATAATAAATAGGTGTCCTACTTACATGACAAAACAAAATTAATAATATTCTATATGTATATGTATACAATTTAGGATTCGGTAATTAAGTTAAATCTAACCTACATGTATTTTGTAAGCTAGCTACTTCTGATTAAGAATTCACTCACCTCTGATGATGTGAGGTAACATAGACGAGAATCCGTGCTTTCGACAGAAGTCTGCTGTGTAATTCCGCTAAAGCTATGCCTGGCTTCTCTTTCAGCCATATAATCCATCCTGGCACTATCTTGGCGTTCAAACATCCTGAAAATAATTTATATAAGTTATAATTAAAGTAGTTTAAACTACAACTAATTTTTATTTTTTATTTTTAATGACTAGCATTATACTATTTTTATAATATAACATAAAAGGCTATGCGATTTATATGGATGTGGTTTATAGTGTCAAAAACTACTCAACATCAATAAAAAAGATGAAATAAATTCATATGTGAGCTACCTTTTTTGCCACCTACTTATATAGGTGTTAAAAATAAGCTATAAATACCCTCCATGTCACAAGGAATCTATTGATACGTCCTTTATTGAAAACGATCCAGTAGTTTTATAATAACTTTGGATAAACCAACATCCATTATTCGCGTATAAATGGGCGTTGCCCACGCTGAGAAAATTTGTTTTATTTTAAATATATTAAAAAAAAAAAAAATGTATATTATGTCATAATTTTATCAAATATAGTTGTAATATGTTACCATTGGCAACCATTTACATAAACAAAAAAATATTCATTTTTGTGATCAGAAAGAAATTCATGTATATGAGCTTACTAGCTAAGCTTTAGTTACTTATAGGAATTGAAAAATAAGCTATAAACACAGTCTAAATCCCAGAGAATCTATTGGTATAACTTTTATTTATGACGGTTCAATATTTCTAAGTCTATAGAAGACGAACAAACAAACGTTCAATTTTATAAATTAGAAATGAAAAATTTTACGAAAAAAAAAAAATAATTTAGAATTTTGTATACAAAAAAATAATGAAAAATAAAGTAGCTAACAAAGATAAATTAATTTCAAATTTAAAACCATTATCATTGCTACATTATAAAATTCTACCAAGTCAATGAGAACATATATAATTAGCATTCGTTTTTAACTATCTGCTCAAAATATTATAATGATCTTAATTCCTATATATTTTTTATCTTGGACGGCACTTTATACAGTTCACAATTATTATAAAACAAATGTCTTTACTTAACCATGAGTATTTTTGGTTATTATAACCATACAAATGTACTAAGGTTAACTAATTATTTTTTATTGTTATAAATTAATTTAATTACTCTTGAATCTTGACATTTGACATACATKGTACAATGAGTATAAAATTAGAGTTTTGTATGGTGTATAGTTTTTAGTAATTAATTATTATAATAGCCTTCTGACTTGATATCAAATCATAGTTAAGAACACATATATTTTCA